ATTCTATGTTCTATAATAATTTTCCGCCAAAAATATAGTCCCGGCTAGTTTTCAAAAACAGTTTACTATTTCTGTTTAAAGGTGTACAATTGTGACGAGGAAAGAAAATGTGGTCTTTTAAATCTCCTACTTAAATATATGAGACATATTAGCAGATATAGTAAAAGAATATTTCATCTAGGTAGAAACCAGAGAAGAATCCTACCTTTGCCTATCTGGTGTTGTCATGTAAAAGAGGGTGTTGTAGTTCTTTTGTTATTTTCCCTAAATGTGTAGCAGATTAAAAGAAGAATTTTTATGTTGCAGAAACTCATATTAATTTTTTCTCAAATGCATCAATAAATAAAGCACAACGAGAAACAATATTTTGAAGCTGCGTATTGACTTCCAAATTGCCATTAAATGATGTAAAAAATTAGTCTCACGGCAAAATATATAAGATTTTTCGTTTATTGAACAGGGAATCCCCATTGTTCTGAAAAAAGCGCTGAAACAAAGTAATTTTGATACATACACAAAGAGGCAGGGATTTTCTTCAAAACTGCCATTTCCGATTTTTGTTTCAAAGAGGCACATTTTTGAAAAACGCAAAAATTGAATAAACATTATTCTCCAAACGAAATGCAAAATATGTACATTAAATAACACTGGAAAACCATCGTGTCTGAAATGGTCTGGTGGATATGCTGGTTGGTTTCCAACTCGTACTTTTACCGGAGAATGGGTTCGAATCCTTGAATGGATCATTTTTGCATATATTTTTTTTCTTATTTTTTTTTTCAATATGTAATGGAAGTGCAATGAAATTATATATTTTGAACGTCAAGGAGTTAATTGAGTAATAACTATAATTAGAAATACAGGATTATTGCTAGCGCTCTCGAGCGCTAGCAACTACGTTAGTCCAAATTCCTTGAATACGCATGCTCGGCCACCATTGTCGTGCATTCTGGGAAAACTGTGAAAAACTACTACAGATAGACCGTACGAAAACAATTTCGTTGTATCGTGTTGTAGCATGAAATAACTGTTTATTTATTGTGTAACTTACACTTTAAAGATAACTTCATATTTATAACATTTCAAATTCTGGGGGTTTTTTTGCTGACGGAAAAGCCCGAATCATTATCTGATTGTTCTAAACAATGACAAGGGAGGTTGTTGTTGGTTTTTTTTTTGGTTTTTTTTTTTACATCTAAGCACAATCAAAGATAGATTCTAATTTCTGATTGGTCAATTCAGCCAGTCTTACAAATTCCAGAAACAGAAGCAAGGATTTACACTAAAAATAACGAATAAATCCACTATTTGTGTTTAAAAAATTCTGATGTGTATGGCTTTTAATCTAACATATCTTGACAAAGATGACCCAAAGGACCAATTAAGCTACTTCACATGCGTTCCAAACTCTCTGGACTCTTTACACGACATACACTTTGAGTTATTTTCTATATTCCTTTCAGCTCCCATGTATTTTCTTTGCTACATTGCCAAGAAATTCTCTTCTTTAAATTAGCTCATACACATCGGCATCTTCTTCATATTACATAGAGCCCCCCCCCCCTCCAGTAAAGGTCATATATGTTCCGTTGCGCCAAAACTCCAATAGGTCAACCCCCCCCTTATTTCTTAACCTTTGTGTCTAAATACGCCTCACAGAACAATAACAAGAAAACATTGATGTTACCATCAATAGTCGCCCGGGAAATATATAAAGTAAACTATGGAAATGAGTCTTGATCATCAAACTGCTTCGATATGCGTGAAAAGGCATGGAGACGATAGTCGCGAATATTTGGAAAACTTATAGTCGGATAAATGTCAAACAAAAACGATATCATTTTAAACTTCAATTCCTCGAGTAAATGTTGGTTGCATAAAATATAAATTTTAGTTAGACACATGCATCACCTATATTCAAAAATGTATTTAATTTTCAATTTTAGAATATAAAACTCGAACTGTACATAGTACGTTTTTATGCGAGAAGTAAAATTCGATGTTCTTAAAAAAGGGACCTGTCGTTTTTTCGATAATAAATGATAAACAACTTTATATATTAAATATGAAAAACTTATATATTTTTACAGATTCACATTATGGAAGTAAATATATTATGTATCTCGTAATTTATAAAGGGAAAGAACTTTCTGTTTAACCATCTTTTCAATGTTTAGAAAATCTTTAATATTGAATAACTACTCCCACCTCAATCCCCATATACCAACACTTAAACTTATATGTATAGAGCAGCCCGGTCCTCCGGGCTGCAATAACTTTATCACTCTCCAGCCTTGATAAAAATTAAAGAATTCAGCAAAATAAATCACTTGATCACGCGTCTTCCTTTTGTGTTTAAAAAATGCTACGGCGCTAGCTCACCTATCTTTTTAAAAGATAAACTTGTATTGTTTACCTTGATATGCTGTGACTTAAAACTTATACTTTATTTAGTTTTGTCGTGGAAAATAAAGTTAATGTATTGTTTAAATAATTTATTTTTTACATACTGTAGTTATTACAATTTTGAATAATTCTGGTCCATTAGTTAGTAGCCAAGATTTGATTTGAAACAAACGAAATGTCTTGGATGTAGCAGCAACAATGTGCATGGTTATGGGACGCAGTTTTATTTCATGAAAAATATTTTCGCACGATGTCTACAGTATTATGAGTATACCTTACAAAATGCTGCTTTAGCCATTGTGCTTTTTTTTTTGTTCCAACCTTTTTCGTGCAAAATGACAAAAGTGTTTTGCTGTATCAAGCAGGCAATACCGCCGTAAACATAGTCCTCTACATAACTGTATCTAAATTTAGACATAACGAGGGTATATAAATGTCCTTCTCGATATATAGGGAATAATCGCGAGTTTCTGCAACATCCTCCTCCCTCTTTTATTGCAAAAGCTGAAAGGCAGCTATTCGAGAAAAGTGTTACAGATTACAGACAAACAGAAATATAGCCGGATGGACGGACAGACAGACGGACGGCCGGCGTAACGTTGAATTTTGAACCGGGTTGAAAATTGACCCGGGGGTCATTTTTCAACGTTGAATAGTGAGACCTAAGATGTTGAATTTAGACCCTAGTCCGTTGAAAATTGAGCCGGGTCGTGGAATTTTGATCATGAAACCGGTTCTAAATTCAACAGCATAAAACACATATTTATGTCTTGATTTTCACAACTGTGATTTAATCCATGGGCGTCGGGAAGGTGGGGGGGGGGTATGGATGCTTAGCCCCCCCTCCCCCCACTTTTTGGAAAGATAGACATAATTAATATAGGCATTGAACAAAGTGAAATTGGTTTAGCCACCCTTTCAACAGACACGTTATATTGTACTCAAAGAAATAAGAGTAAGTGGTAGTGCTTAATTCAGTAATTCAGTTATATTCTTAGAATAAAATATTAACAAAAATATCTTAGATTTTACAGTTACATGTAGTTTAATATCACAATATTTCGTGTAATTTTTTTTTAATCAGTAGTATATGTAAATCAATAGTATGTGTAAACCCTTTTAGTATACATAGTTACACAATATACACTTTTGTTCAGAAATTTATTTATCTATATTTGCTTTTTGCTAACAACACTTCATTTATATTTCAATCTTAAAATTCGTAATATTAGTATTTGGGAAATAGTGAGAGTTTAATGCATGATGCACGTACATTTAAATTTATTTATCAATTATTTATTTAACTTATTTTAGTTATGCGCAACATTAATAACTTATAATGTCAACTTGAAAAAATGGATTTTTTTTCAAAATAAAAGGTTTAGTGATCTTTGTGGCATAGTAAATCAAACAGTTCAAGAACTAACCCCACAATACATATTTATTTTGTTAAGTAGAGGATGGAAAGAGGGGTTGATCTAACACCTTTTTGGGATGTTTCAATTTGCTAATAAAATCTTGTTTCATGGCAGATTTAGAGATGATGGTTTCATCATTTTCAATGGTTCTGAGACTGAGATTCTTGATTTCTTTAAACTTGGCAATCATGCAGTGTCATCCGCACTTTAAATTCACCTTTGAAATTTCTGTTGATTCAGTAAACTTTTTAGACACAAAAGTGTATAAAGGAAGAAAATTTCAAGAATCAAACAAACTTGATATCAAATCTTATATAAAACCAACAATTAATTTCCAATATCTACACAGAGAAAGTTCTCACAACCCAGCGGTATTCAAAGGTTTCGTTAAAGGTAAATGCAAAAGACGTGAGAAATACCAATGGCACTGTTCTCAGTATAATTCTACAAGACTTTAAAAACCCCTTGTCAAAGAGAGGCTTCTCTGATGCAGAAATAGATCCCATTATCACAGGAATAATTGGAACAGACAGAAATGAGATCCTAAATAGAAGTTACGGCCAACTGAGACCCAACAATAAATTGGTTATGATTACAAAATTTAATCCGAGAGTCAACGGACTAAAAAACGCATCTTAAAATACTGGAACAAAACCAAAACAGACACAAAATGCAAAGAAATATTTACCTCGGAACCAATTAAAGCTTATAGTAAAGACAAAAGTAAAGGCGATTATGATATAATTTTGAGATCATGTCCATGAAATTTATTAAGACCCCACACTCTAAACCAAACTTCTAAACCAGGCATTCCTCATGATCATAATTATGTACATGTACTTATATTTCCAACAGAAAGGAATGCCTGGTTTAGAAGTTTGGTTTAGAGTGTGGGGTCCTAATAAATTTCCCGTAAAAACAACCTCCAAGTTCAAATAATGTTCAAACTCCGAGGTGGGGTCAGTATTCAACAGGGTCAATTTTCAACTTGTTGAGGTCATCAGGGATAAGAAAAAAAAATATCAAGCTGTTGAAAAATGACCCCGGGTATAAATTCAACGATTTTTGGTCTCAATTTTCAACGGAGAAAAAACACCCCTGGTTCAATATTCAATGTTGAAAAATGACCCCCGGTTCAATTTTCAACTCGGGTCAATATTCAACGTTACACCGGACTCAAAATCAAATGGCGACTTCTTTATGCCATAGGGAGTTATCATGTAAAATTTCATGGCAAAGGCTGAAAGCATCTCGAGATATCGCGTGGAAAGGAAAGTGTAACAGACAGCAGCAATACAGCTAGACGTCCGTCCAACGGACAGAAAGGCAGCCAGACAGACATACAGTAATACCAAAATTAATATCCCCACTTTCAGCGGGGGAACAATAAACTAGAGGAAGAAAAATCTATATATATTATTTTAGCTCTTCGGCCTCTACTTTTTTCATAGCTATTTAAATGTTTTTACTTAAGAAATACTTACAGGCATAATTGTATTCTCTAATCGGTTCGGAGTCTGCATATAGCTCTCTTCTACCCGTATATTTTGACCGTGGTTTGGAACGATGACATTCTCTAAGAGTCACTGTAACCTGTTGGTATTGAAGCAATTGTTTTCATCTTGATATGTCCTCTCCCTATTATACTATTACAGATGCTGAAGCATAATTATTCACTTTTAACGAGTGTATATTTAAAGATAACGTTTACTCGTTGTTTCAGATTACAAAAATGGAATGCTATGAAATGCAATATGTGGAATAAAAATTGTTTTAATGAACAAAATAATAAAACTGAAAAATTTAATAATTTGTTAATCGAAGAAAATATGCAAGGACCAATATACACGGTAACTCTTGCCTTAAAAGTCATGGAACTTATTACGGTAACCGTTTGTACCCTTAGAACACATTTTTTCAAGCCTTATAAGTCTATAAGCACTGCTCTATTTCTTAATACAAGACCAAGCTGACATTTTCTCAACTAATAACAAGAATAGATATGGGTTACCCCATATCCAAAAATATTCGACTTTTAGATTTAATATGTTTAACAGTGTTTAATGACTTTTATAAAAAATAAACTGCGCTGTCTAGTTATGCATAACAAACAGTGCACATACCTGTGTCTGCAAGACCAGTTTAAACCTTGCTCTACACACGTGCGATGGAGTTGTCAAACGCATATAGCGACCTCGGAGAAACACGTTTTGTTCTGCCGAGAAGTTACGATGGCAGACAAAACCTTTTCTCTTAATTAGATCATATGAATACAAATTCTGATTAATAAAAATTATACAATCCCTGCCCGCTGAACTACTCAGCATATTTTGTTCTAACATTTGTATCTGCAACAAAGTGTGTATAAAATGGTTAGGAACATCAGGGCCAGGCCCGAAAATTCTAAACAGAAAACCTTTTTTTAAAATTTCTGATATATACTAATGTATTCGTCACGGAACTTACTTATATAATTCAAATTCTATAGAAAATAATACGCTGAACGTCAACACGAAACCGGTTTTCAGTTTAGAAATCTCCGACCCGGTTCGGGTTTTGCTACACTGTAACACATTTTATAACTACGCTCCCTACCCAGTCTACACACGAGCAGAATCCGACAAGGGATTGAAAATTCCGTTATTTAATAATACACACACAGAATGATCAATTATTTTTCTCTAAGAGGAAACTAAATGATTATTAACGAACAATTAACACGAACTTAATACAATTGTTGATTATAATATCATCAATTCATCGGTGAAAAGATATCGATCGAAGAATGACCTAGATGTTCTCTGTTATCAAACATGTTACAAAAAAAAAAAAGCTGAGGAGGGAGAGGGAGCGAGCGTAGGAATATTAATATTTTTTATTTGCATTTCGGGGGGAAAGTGATCTTTGGAGAAAAAAATTACGTTAATTTTGGTTACGTTTACGTGTGACATACACAGCATTATTCTTATCATGAACAGTAATGTTGTATCTACCTATCATGATGGAACTATTTTCGTCGGAACAATTTGTGTGAGTCGTCGCTGACTACAGTAATATATCTTGAACTGATAGTAAGCACTGATCGAATGCATTAAAGGAAAAACCCCTACATAAACAATTACATGGGCGCAGACACATTTTGGACACCCAAAGTTGTGCGGAGGAGAAAATGCTAGCTGGCGCGTGTTTGGTCAATAAGAGAAAAGACTTGTTATGTATTTGACAAGTGAAATAAAGTTGATAAAAATCTCATATCAAGACTTGGGTTTCTTTGAGGTATATAGGAGTTACAGGTAAACATTTGAAGGGAGGGATGCACTTTGGTTAGAGATTTTCATTTGGTGTCAAACGCACCTAGTTGTAAACAAATGGAAATTGAAAGTAAAAGTGCAACGGCACGGTATATTTTTTCTGGCATTTTTTGTTTAAGGAATGAAGCTTATTTCAACTTATGTTATCCGATATAACATAACTTGGGGCAGTTTACGCTTTATAAACCGCGAAGCGGTTTATAAAAAAGCGTAAACTGCCCCAAGTTATGTTATATCGGATAACATAAGTTGAAATAAGCTTCATTCCTTAATATTTACATTTGCAAATGTTTTCCTTTATATAACACTACTGAAGGCAAGCGTTTTTATAACTGTGTAAATACAGGTATGGGGTCAAGAGGTCATAGATGTGCGTTTGGATAAACGTTCGACGTAATTTCTCTGTGACGTCATAAAGGGTCGACGCGCGTTTAGTGGATTACATACATGCCGTTGGGTTTGAAAAATTAACGCATTTCACACGTTAAAGGTAACAATCAGGCAAATATAAAGTATGAATAAGTCACAAATGTAAATATAAGTAATAAGGTATCATTTTTTGAGTTTTATTGAGATGTAAAACGGGTTGACACATGATCAAATCTTTCCATAAAGCCCTTCGGGCTTTATGGGATTTGATCACGTGACCAACCCGTTTTACATCTCAATAAAACTCAAAAAATGATACCTTATTTCTTATAATTTAATTTCAGGGTAGACAATAAGACAACATTTCCTCCGGAAAAAGGTTTGAAATTGAGCGTTATTTTAAATTTAACGTCAAGCGGAGTAATATGTTTTTGACGTAACTCATTGTGACGTAGGCAAGTTATGTTATACAAAATGGATAAAACCGTTTAACCAATCAAATGACGTGTTACAACTAAAATTAGATTATTTTCCAATATCTCGAACTTTCACGACAAAAAGGTCATTTGCCCGAAATTCGATATATTATCAGTGAGAGGGGCTAAAGTTTGTATGGAAGTCTATGGGAAAACATATGGTGGTGTTTGTCCTAAAAACAACTGGATGAAATACCGCGCAAGCGCAGGGAATTTTAACTAGTCCAACAGAAATTGTGTTTATAAAAGTTAGGGTAAACACGTTGTACTGAAGATCGATTGGTTTACGTTTTGGCGATTCTCAAGGTGAAAATCATGTTAGGTATGTAGCTACGTCGTTTTGGGTTCTATTAAGGGGTTTTTAAGTCATTCGAAGTTTTACTGCCTTAAGTGCAACAGCTACCTTTACTAATGTCGAAGTAAAAAGATTTTTTGGCTGAATATCGGCAACCTTCAGAAGAAGAGTCCTTGCTTAACTATATTCCTTCTGCAGTACATAAGGTTTCTACGCTTAATTTGAACACCCATGTCATTATTACTGAGACAGGGAAAGTCTCGTCAGACCTGGCTGACACCTGAACACTCTGAAGGAAGAAATTTCTGTGGGTGACGGTTTTGCTAAGAAACCTAAAAAAAAAAAACAAGAGGCCAAGGGGCCACAGCACTAACCTTAGAACATCGGCTAGGAAAAAGCACATCAGATCAGAACTGAGTTTACTGAGGGGGGTTGAATTTTAACCCCCCAGGGGGTCATGATTTGAACAAACTAGAATCTACACTACCTGAGGATGATTCCATCACTAATCATGGCTTTGAAGTAATTGAAAAGAAGATTTTAAAAGGTTTCCCTATATATTCCTATGTAAAAATCTGGTCGGCCATTTTGGTCCCATCCTAGCCCCGGGGGTCATGATTTGAACAAACTTGAATCTACACTACCTGAGGATGATTCCACATGAGTTTCATCTTTCCTGGCCCAGTGGTTCTTGAGAAGAAGATTTTTCCTATATATTCCTATGTAAAACTTTGGTTGGCCATTTTGGCCCCACCCTAGCCCCGGGGGTCATGATTTCAACAAACCTAAATCTACACTACCTGAGGATGATTCCACATGAGTTTCATCTTTCCTAGCCCAGTGGTTCTTGAGAAGAAGATTTTTAAAAAATTTTCCTAATATTTCCTATGCAAAACTTGGATCAGCCATTTTGGCCCCAACCTAGCCCCGGGATTTCAACAAACTTGAATCTACACTACACTTCCACGTGTAAGTCACTTCCTAGCCACATTTCCGTGAATAATTTACCCTATCTCGCTGTAGTCTCGCTAACTCTCGCCAGAGCCACTGCCAGAGCTACTCTGAACTCATCGGGTTTTATAATTTGCGGAACACCGAAAATTAGAACGTTCCGAACACGTTAGTAGGGGTGTTTGTATTCTTTCTTTGACTGGAGTAAGTTACAATGTGTAGCGCTATTTTTGTTTCTATTGAATTTTCCAAGATGATATCTGTATTTATTGTGTTTTCCTTTCATTTCCGGGGTTACCCAAGGTTTATCTACAGATGTTCTGCTTGAGTAGGCTGTTTTACGCTGTGTTGATTTTTAATGGGGTTCGATTTCAAAGAAAGGCTCCATGGCTTTTGTTAGCTCTGAAGTAAATAGGTCAACAGATGAGTCAATGGACTCCTGGGACTCACCTTCCAGCTTTTCAATTACTGACATAAGTGTATCAAGGCATGAGTATAATGCAGTTTGTGCTTCATAAAGGTATTCTGGTTTACACTTAAATGATCTCAATGAGGTAAAACTGTCGTCAGTGGAGTTTTCACTTATTGTGCTTACTACAGGGGAGGTCAAAAGATGTAGATGTAACGAGGCATGATCCGAGTAAGTAGTAAAATTTGACACTTGGAATTTTTCGATCAGGCAGAAAATATCTGGTGTAGAAAGACAGTAGTCTACAACACTTAACCCTCTGGATCCCATGGATGTAAAATCCCTGTCCATATTATTTTTATGGCGACCATTTAGTATCCTCATCCCAGATGATTTACACGTTGCCAATAGTTTCGAACCGTTGTCATTTATACTTGTATCCGGGTTCACACGTAATTGCAAATCATAGTCCAACTCATAACCAATAGTTTCCATATGGCTCAGATTGTTCTCATTAAGAACGTCATCAATTTTAAAATCTTCCCTAGATATGAAGACCATGCATTCATGTCTCCTAATATCATAACTTTTCCTTTACTCTGAACAGGTTGGGAACACATCCCCTCACTATGTTCATTTCTAGTGATTGTCTCCATAGCTTCCAGTGTTTCCGGTCCTCTGTACTCACCATCAATATACAGCCTGTTAACAACCAATGTTGCCTTTTTACCTCTGTTCCTTGCTTCTTTTAGAATTAGGTAAAGTTGTTTTCTTTGTTTCTGTATTACTCTTGGAAATTGCTCCTGAATTGCATATCTTGTGTCCCCTAGCTTGCCGGCGTTCGCGCGGACTTTCTCTCTCACTCTAAATGATGAAAATTTCACTACCACTGGTCTTCCATTCTCCATTCCCCCTCCTTCCTATCCGATGAGTCCTTTCGATGTCCTGCTTTACATTAAGGAGTCGAAGGAAGTCATCACAAAATTCATCTATGAGACGCACGCAATCCTTTCTGTTATCTTTGTATTCTGCCAGGCCAAAAAACAGGAGGTTGTCGCGCATACTACGACACTGTAAATCAGTCATTGTTTTTTCAATGTCTTTCTGTGTTTTTTTTTTTCTAAGCTCTGGATCTGACACAACACATCCTCGTTGACATTGGTAGAACGTGATCGATCTATATCCTGAACTCGCTCTCTGTTTTCAAGCCTTTTGGTATGCATTACATTAGAGTCAATTGTTTGTAACAGTTTATCTATGTCGGCCTTTTGGGCTCCAAGTTCAAGGTCGATATCTCCTTCATCGCCTTAAATTTCTCGTCTATACTGGCTATAAAGTCATTTTTGAATTTATCTAATTTACTTTCAGCCATGGATTGCAGGGATTGTTGACCTACTTGCAGTTTTTGGACGGCCTCCGCAATGACAGTAATTTTGTCCACCATATCATCTAAACTAGTGTCCGCCATTTTGATAGTCTTTGTTGATGGCTTTGGGGTATTACCATCAGAAGATAGTCGACGCTTTCCGTCGGGTTTGTCCGTTTAAGGCATCAATGCAATACAGACATATCGAAATATCTAAACATACCTGATTTTCCAAGCTTTACACTTTAAAATAGTACCAAATTACTCACAAAAATTACTGCTAAAATTTACACGTCCATGTCTACCCATGCATTCGCACTCCAGCAAATCGGTAATACCCGGTAGTAAGCTAAATTAAGTCAAATATATAATGACAAGTTTACATGTTGTTTTTCATCTCATAAAAAAATTCAGCTCCAGTCTCGTATCAAAAGGCCCGAATCGGAAGGGAAGATTCTGGGATTATTTTGCGTCAGTCATGATTTGACGTGAACCCAAGTGAAATACTGTTACGACGCCTAGACCGGCTTGCCTGTCTGATCCTCGATTTCGTACTGCCAGTCTAGGAACAGCGAATTTGTGTTATAGAGACAAGCGTCGGGATGATCGAGACTACAAATAATGACGAAAAAGTAGTAGCATATAATGAAAAGTAGTATAACGAAAAGTAGTATAATGAAAAGTAGTATAAAGACAAGTAGTATAATGAAAAGCAGCATAATGAAAAGTAGTATAAAGAAAAGTAGTATAATGAAAAGTAGTGTAATGGAAAGTAGTAGCATATAATGACAAAGTACCATCATATAATGACAAAGTGCCATCATATAATGACAAAATACAATCATATAATGACAAAGTACCAGCATATAATGACAAAATACCATCATATAATGCAAGTTCTGCCTAGACTTCCTTTTATTTTAAATTGTTTGTCATTGTGAGCACGACAATAATAGAATTTAAAAAATGCTTTTCATTTACGAAATGGATAGAAAAATGGCCTTTGAGCCTTCCGATCGCCACAAGATTTTTCTTTTTGTTTTTGAAGCGTAAAATCCCTGTAGTATTTGTAGTAACCCATGATGCAATTCTCATTCAGCTGATTTGTCAGTCAAAGTCATATTGGTGCCTCAATTGCTAAATATAGTCCCGATTCCTATGCAAAAATATTTGTCTAAAAAGAAATTTTAATTCATGAATGCAGAAATTAAAATTGTATCATAGAGAATATTTATTTAAGTTTGAATGATTTCAAGAGATATAGATTGAAGTACATTTCTACAGATATTATAGGCCGCTGAAAACTGAAACGCAACATAACTTTTCTGTTTACTATGTCTCCACGTGCTAGTCACTTCCTAGCCACATTTCCGTGAATAATTTACCCTATCTCGCTATAGTCTCGATAACTCTCTTTAGAGCCACTGCCAGAGCTACTCTGGAAACATCCGATTTTATAATTTGCAGAACGACAAAAATAAAAGGTTACGAACACATTAGTAGGGGTGATGTACGTCCTGCGAAGCGTACGGTTTAGACTTTTAAGGCTTACCGTGTATACCTGACCTAAAACACTTACCTTTTTGAGTTTTCGTCGAGGAAAACTATTATTACATTGAATTAACGATCCTTTAAATAATGTTTCACTATCACGTGCCAATTCCATTCCTTGAAATTATTACCTTTATGTTTTCCCTGAAAAAAAAAAACAGAAAATAAATCAAAAATACATTTTAATGTTCAACAGATATATCTTTAAACAAGTTGCATATATTTCAAATAGATAAGAAATTCTTCAACAGATGAAAAATATAATGTTTCGTGTATTTGAGAGAATTGAAATTAAATTAACTACCTAATTCAGAGAATTTGTATCCCTCGCTTAAGGGAAAAAGAGAAGGATGTTAGGATGTTCAGACTGGGGGTCACCCCCAAACCCACCCCACCTTCCCCGGATTTGCAGAATATATTAAATGTATGTTCTGAAGAAAATAAAAAAAATGCAAATATGGATACGTCATAACTTCTTCATTTCATATGCTTGTAAACCGAAAAAAAGATTTTTTTTAAGAAAAAGCATGGCATACTAGCAGAGCAAGAATATATAATATATATATATATATATATATATATATATATATATATATATATATATATATATATATATATATATATATATATATTTATCTCATACGTGTTGGTGATACAGGCCGTTGGATAAACTTATGCTTTATCAACGGGTAGATGCTTTATCAATAGCACTTCCGGTTTTGACACGAACCCTCGCTTCAAGATTTTATTTTATTGAAACTTTTATTTGTGAAAATTGTTGCCTTTATAAAATGAATGATAAAGGGTAGCAATATCGTTAAAAGCAAGATGTCAAAGAAGTGTCTTATTTTATCAAGGAACCCGTTGGCTATTTGAAGACAGATGTTACCCCCCCCCCCCCTTTTAGATCGTTTTCGGAGAAAGTAAAGCCTACATGTACCAGTTAAGTTGTTGTTATAAGACTCCTTTGACATCTTTAACAATGCTTTCTTATATTATACTATGTATGCCTACCTAGTAATGTAGGTGTAACTTACCATGGATCAGCCAACAATCTAGACAAAGTCTAGGCCCCTAGCCTTGCCTAGCACGATTTGTACTGCCATCGTAAAAAGAGTTGATTTTCACGATTCCCATAGTCCTAACAACTTTCAGTCAGAAGTTCGTTTGATGTAAAGCTCCAGCAATTTTCACATGATGTTTTCAAAGACACAGATAGCAAATATTCTAAATTTTGAACTCGATCTACTTTCTCTCGACGCATGTAAACATCAACGGTGCTACGTCATCAAGTTATACGTCATCAATTTGATTTTGGCAGTCATTCATGTAGTTTCGCAGGGGAAGTCTCAAAGTTTTGTTAAAACGAAAGTCGTATGAGATAAATAGAACATCTATAATTGTGTGATTTGATATTGGCTTTATCCAACTCGTTGAAATGGTGTATATTCGCTCGGCAAGCCTCGCGAATATATACACCATTTCAACTCGTTGGATAAAGCCAATATCAAATCACACAATATAGATATCCTCTCTCTCTATATATATATATATATATATATATATATATATATATATATATATATATATATATATATATATATATATATATATATATATATATATATATATATATTTTTTTTTTTTTTTTTTTAAAGGAAATTTATGTGAGCCATGTGGTGCTAAAAATGTATTTTGTGTAAATTTGTTGTGAAAACCAGTCAGTTTGAAGATAATAACGGATATACTTTTCAAGTGAAAAATTATATTAATTGTAAATCAAGGAATGTTGTTTATGGAATTTTTTGAAAAAAATGTGACAAAATAGTGTATGTGGGAGAAACTGGTGATAGTTTATATCAAAGACATGTTTTGAATTTGTCTTTAATTAAAAGGGAAACAAATGATCCTGTGGCTACTCATTTTAATTCAGGTGTACATACAGTAGAAGATTATAATATAATAGGCATTGAAAAACTATAAAAATGACATTTACCGCAAATATAGAGAAAATCTTTGGAAGAAAAAGTTGAACACTTATATACCATTTGGTATCAACAAAAGGGAACACTTCTGTCTTTGAAATGGATTTATGAACATTTGTGTGACATTGTGATACTTATTTTTACAGATATACATTTATATATACTTTAAAATCATCTTTTTAATTTACCCCGTATTCTAGTATTTTATTCTGTATGATAAAAATTTTGATAACACAAGTACAATTTTTGCTCTCACAATATTTTCAGATGTTTTTGGCGCTATTTTATTCCATGACGTTGCCTCTCAATTTTTACGTTCTTTGTGACGTCATAATACTGTTGAGTTGCTATGCATTTTTAAAAATAAACACGATTGAAGAATGCCGGTAACACGGATGAAGTGTTTTAAAGTTTTTTATTATATATATATAATTTAATTTTGTTTGTATTCTCGCCTCTCATTGGTTGATTTCCAAAAAGGAACGCAAAACATTTTGTATAATCTGGTTTGGTATGGGGACACACCCCCTTGACGACGAGCTTAATCATTATATCCATGCAATCCCCTCATTTCCAGTCCTCGGAATCCATGGAAAATTTCAGATTTAATAAATTTACCTTCAACTTTAAACAATTACTCGTTCTTACCTCATGTAAACAAACATCATGGCTGCTAGATCTATGTATCAGTTATTACCTCCCCTCGCTTCAAATCACTTCCGTTACTACGGTTGTATTATTGCGCGGTAAATTTGAACTGATAAAAAGCAACACAATTTTACATCAAAAGTTGTTTAATTATTTTAATCCGCTTCGAAATATCCAGAGTAGCAAAGGAGGACTACTTTATTAAACTATTTAACCCAAAACTTAACAGAAAATAATTACTTCAGTTTTAACTTTAATTATTTTCTACTTGTTTTTTGATTTATTTAACGAGGCCCGATCTACTTGATCTGCGCATACGTTTTAACGCAGCGTCGACTCAGGCACGTCACAATACTACCCTTGAATGCCGTCACTATATATATAAGGTATTCAATTTCATTTTGCGTGAGATTACCTAAGTCCTTGGTATTTCTTTGTGAGCTGCCTTTTTGAGACATGAGATATAATCCTCCAAATGTTTATCTCTATTAAGCGGTAGCCTGAAACCTTTCCTACTTTTAACCAGAGATATATCATCATCGGTTTTATTTTGAAAAAATTCCTTCAAGCGTAATTTACGGCAGAATTCTTCTGTGTCCTTAACGACATCAACCTTATCAGACTTTGGCGTAGGCGTGAATTTTAAACCATGTTCCAAAAGTTTTATTTCATCACTATTTAAGTCTCGTTGTGATAGCTTAATTAACAAGAGGCACATAGCTTAATTAACAAGAGGCCCTTTCAAATGATTGAATTTGGTTCATGTTTCAAGCTAGATGCTATGGCATTCACAATTCTAAAAGAGGCACCATTTCTAATCAGAACTATACAATTAGCAATTGTTTAGTTAGTTTACTTAATACCCATAAGCAGGGCAGAGGAACAAAAAATGCATTTTCACTAATCAGTAATATTCAGCAATAATCATAAGTGCCCCTACCACACATGAACCCCTGACCCTAGGTATACACATTGCACAATTTTTGAAAAGACACACTTGCTTTTCAAAAATGTTTGATTAATAATAAGGAGCAGATTTCAAACAATTCATTTTCAGTATATAAGTAGACCCCCCCCTTCGGTATCCCTGACCCAGGGGCCTTGAAGTTTATAATTCTGGAAGAAGAGCCCTTGTACATCATAACTATATAGGTAGTTCATCTGCTAGAGAAAAAGAGTTTCATATATGTAATGTATTTCACTATATAATCATTATAGAGCCGCGCCCTAACACCATAACCCCTGACCATTGGGCCATAAAATTCATAATTTTGGTAGAAGCATTCTTGCTCATCATAACTATGTACTTAGTTAGTTTATTTAATATCTAGGAGCAGAGAAGAAGATTTTCAAAGAAATAATGTATTTTCACTATATAATCAATAGTGCCCCACCCTAACCCCGAACCCTGGGGCCATAAAATTCAAAATTTTGGAAGAGACACTCTTGCTCATGAGTCATGATAACTTTATACTTAGTTGGTTTATTTAATAAGAAGAAGCAGAGAAGATTTTCAAAGAATAAATGCATTTTCACTATATAATCAATAGAGCCCCGCCCTTACACCAGAACCCACCCCTGACCCTTGGGCCATAAAATTCAAAATTTTGGAAGAGGCACTCTTGCTCATGATAACTTTTTACTTAGTTGGTTTATTTAATACAAAAGAAGCAGAGAAGAGATTTTCAAGTAATAAATACATTTTCACTATATAATCAATAGAGCAACGCCTTAACACCAGAACCCCTGACCCTTGGGCCATAAAATTCCTAAGTTTGGTAGAGGCAGTCTTGCCAAAACGCAGCCCGAAGACTACATGGAACGAACGTGTGGGTGAAAGAACAATTTCCCCAAGAGATAGAAAACAGGAGAAAAAAACTGTATCCAGTCATGCGCCAAGCAAAACTTGACCATAAACGTGTGAAACTTGTTCGAGACACTCTTTTCATAAATGGAGTGAAATACACTGCGCCTCCTGAATCCGCCCCAGTGACTCAAAGTTACGCAAGAGTAGCTCAACAAGAGCAAGGAGCACCAACCCAGACGCCTAGACGCGATAACAAAAGACCCCGGTATGGATCATCATCGCCAGATCAGAACAGACAATAGGAACGCGCGGAGGAACAGACCCAGCGCCGTAAGGCTCAATGTGTAAATAATGTACAAATTTTATCATTAAATGTATGTGGGATAAAAAACAGACTGAATTATAAGGAATTTACAGATTTCATCTCAAAATATGATATTGGTTTCCCAGAAACTTAAACAGATAATTCTGATAACATACAAATACCTGGATCTGTTACTTATATGAAAAATAGACGTAAACTTTCCAATATCCGATCTGGGGGGGATTATTGTAGCTATTAAAGATACTGTAGTGAAATATGTTAGCATGATAAATACAGATTGTAAATATGTTATGTGGTTCAAGATAAACAAAACTTTATTTAATACTACTAAAGACATAATTTGCGGAGTTGTTTATATATACCTCCAGAAGAAAGTAGA